ACTAATCATCAGTGACTGCAGGATCCCAAAGCAGCTTCCCAGGATAAAGATTCTGTGAGGTCATAATCTATTCACATTTTACAGAGAAACTCCAAAGCTGAGAGCACAGAGCTGGGAATAAAACTCAGGAGCTCTGACCAGTAGTCATTTGCTGTAATAGTTATGCATTGCAGACACTGGAGACTGTCCATAATCATATAAATGGGTCATTTCAATACACTCTCTTCATAATTGATTGGGGAAGCATTCTTTAAATCCAATGAAGGAAGCTGGGTCAATTATATTTCATGATTCATATCAATTATACTCTAGAGAAGAAAACTTACTTAGAGACCAAACTGTATCCTCCTTGGGATTTTAATATCTTTTGAGAAACCAAGACTATGCAAATAATTTTGTGGATGTTTTTAAAGGCATAAGAATGATCAAAAGATAAAGCAAGTATCTCCCAAGTTCACTTGTATCCCCTGTGCTTTATTTAGATTTCAAGGGGATTATGTAAGTAATAAATCTGATCTTTTGGACATGGAGTCCACATTTTCTGAAAAATATCATGAATATAGAACAGAATATAGTATGGACTTACATTTGACTGGAGACGTTTCATCCTTCTGTCAGCAGTCTTAGTTAAGGATATTTATTATGTTTATAATAGATTATTTTCCTTTTCTTAAATATTTAAAGAGCCCCAGGAAACAACAAAAGGAAGAAAAACAAAGAAGGGAAGAACATTTTTAACTCTGTCATACTTTTTCTTGCAGCTGTGTGAAGCTGGAAATTTTTCCATTCATGTTGCACTCAGTGACCTCCGGAGAAATGGTAAAAACTGCATCATCATATTTCAGTTTTGTGCAGCCATTCAATACTCCTTCAGTTACTCTGCTTCAGGAAAGACCTGATCCTGGGGGGTGTTGATACCTGTCAGCTGGCTGCTGTGGGAGCACAGGATGCTCAGCACTGTAAAGACTGGATTCTAAGGGAAATCAGACAGTGCAAGGACTCTGACATCAGACTGTTGGACAGCACTTCTCTAACTGTCACTGTTACTGTTTTGGGCTGGGTTGTGTTGGGGGAGCACTTACATTGGTTATACTGCTAGTGCAAAGGGAAACTGTGCTGCTACAGGCTATGTTTCGGTGAGCAAGGGAAGTTCCCTCACAGGTATCCTATTCCTCTTGTGAGTCCAGAGGACATCCTGTCTTCCCACATCCTGTTTGTCCTTCTGACAGACATGACACACAGAAGTAGGCAGAGCTGGGTTGTCTTTACAGGAAGCCATATATTGAGGAGTGTGAATATTTTGTGATTTGTTTTCTAATCTATAGGATCCAAAACCTGTAAGATCCCATATCCAACAAAGAATCCTTTCACATGGCTGTTTTTCTTTGTATCTTGCCCTAACTATACATATGAGGTATGTATTTTCAAACAAGATGTTCAGATTTTAGTTTTGCTGAATATGTTTTTGTTTCTTTTAGAATGTTTTTACATGGAAGGAACCTCTGAAACTGTTCAGCTCAATACATTCCCCCTCTTCTCCTAAACCCCATGAAATCATGTTGTGGACAAGAATTTGTCTGGTCTTCCTCCCCTCCCTTGGGTCAGTACTGATGTGACTAACCTTACACAGACAGCCCTGACCCTGGGCCAGTGCTTCCGTGTGGCTGCTGGACAAGACATACACTGTAAAGCAGGGCAAATTCTGCAGCCAGCAACAGGGAGATTGCCACTGAACATGTGTTGCAATGAGGGGATGGAGGTGTCTGGTGGATTTATAACGTAAGAGCCTAGAAATATCACTCCAGGCAGGAAGATAGTGGTCAGACAAATAAAAGATATTGTGATAGAGAAAATAAGCTGAAGTCTTCTTCCCCATTTTCTTAAGTTATACAATTACTTGTGTTGGTGGTGACTGCTTTAGAAACTTTAATCAGTTTATCATTACATATTCCTTAATCAGTAGCTAAAGTCCTGACTGAGTTCAAAAGCAGGTCAAGTCAGTGCAACTCAGTGTAACATTCATTCTTGCACAGAAGGACAATGTCAGTTTGAAATTCATCAACAGATGTTAATGAGAACAGCATTGGGCCTTGAAGTATAGAAAGTTAACATTCCTAACAGTGATGGAGTCTGAGTTATACAAATTGGGCAGAGAAACAGGAAGGACACTGTTCTAATGCTTAAAATTTAGTCACTGTAATAGCTGTCGAAACAAATATGAAGGTTTTGTTTGTGATAATAAGGCACTGTTCACCTTTTTGGCTAAAGGTTATTCACAGCAGAAATTGATCTGGCTGACCTTGATTTTTTTATTTACCTATACTAGGACAAGGTTATTTTGATCAATAGAGAGATAAATGCAAATGCTGTCACCAGAAATATTTTAAATTTCCTTGGCCAAAACAGGTGGGGACCTGGATCAGTTTCACTATCATGACTCAGTGTGTTCCAGGTGAGTAATGCTTTGGTACTTCAATCTGAAGTGATGTCAGCAGCAAGAGTATGTTTTTAATCTGATAATGAAATGTATCCTTTTTCCCCTTCCTTCCAGTGGGACTCTTCACCTTGCTTTGCTTCATTCAGATGACAGTCTGGGCAAAGGATAAACACTGCACCTACTTACGAGAATTCAAGGATTATCCAAGTCACAGAATGCCAATTATTCCCTTTTTGTTGTAAAAACAGAAGGCTCAAATTGAATATTGCACAGAACTTCAAGAAGAAAACCTCATAAATGTCCTGCCAAATAAATGAATTAATGAAAAGGATTTTGGTGCATGTTGAATCTCCACTGCTAAGGAAAATTGTATGCACTTGAAAGCTACACTTCCTTACATTCAAGAATTCTCAACTCAGAAGCACCTTAAAAAATAAGGCTTTGTTGCACAGCTGCAAAAAAAGTCCCTGCAGCTCACTGTAACCTGACTTAGATTTTTCTGTACTAATCTGTTTAGATTGATGGATCAGAGATCCTGAGAAGTCTGTGCTGAAAAGCAGCTCCAAATTTAGCAGTGGCATTCTGCAAGACAGAAGTACACTGAAGGAGGACACACCAGCTAACGACAGAACTCAGTTCAGCCAGCACGGGCAGCTGGCCTCAGGACAGTTGCATGAGCTGCCTTCTCTGACTTGAACAGAGTGTGCTGCCTGGAGGCAGGTGCTTTGTAACAGATAACATTACCAAAGAATATGAATGGTTCCTGGAATAAAGAAATAGGCAATATCTCAAAAACATGATTTGGGTCTAACCTCTAATTTGCCAAAAGAATCTGAAGTAAGAAGTATTTGTCATATTTGTGAATGTAATGTCCTGTGCTGGGGTTTTTTGTTTGTTTTTGGTCTTCTTCATTAGTAAGTTGCATAGTAGTATGTAAGATTCAGAAGCAATCTAACTTATGTCATATCTTTGATACCTGGTCTATTTTGATATAATATCTCCTTATGATACTAATCGACCTTTTACTCAGCCTTTTACATCAGGCTTCTCTAAGTAGTTTTTAATATGCTTTGTAAATACATGAAGTAACTGCTAGGCCTCAGAATGCTCTTCCTATTTCTGGAGCCAAGGAGAAAAATCAGCTTCATTTTGGACTTCCTGTGTTTTCTTTGACACAGGATGTTCCGTGTGACTTAGTTGGGTTTTGTATATCTGGTAAAAAAAAGGCTATTGAAATCTATCTGAATGACATTTTAAAGAAGCTATTTTAGAATATGAAGATACTGCATAGATACTGTTTTGTTTCATAATTAATTTATTTATCTATAATAGATGTATAGAAAGATTTTTGCAACTATTTGTAAGGGTGAAATATGCAATAAATTCTATTTTAAAACCAGTTGAAATAATTATGGCAAAAAGAGAAGGCTACAGCTGGTTGCTGAAGTTTCATAATATTTTGTACAGTACAAAGCAAGAGTGTCCTTATAAAAAAATCTACATCAAATGAAGAAAAATATCTTTCAAAGCAAAAATACATGACCCAGATTTTAATTCTATATAACATATCTTAGAGAAGATTTTTTAGAAATTCTTAGATCTGATAGATAACCGAAGCAATACATCACTATGAATTTGTTTTCAGTATTTGTTTTCCACTAGTTAAACTGTGAATCAGAAAAAAGAGCTAAATGTCAAACGATTTCCCACTGAGTGCAGTGTGGAGTACAAACAGGTTGAAATTTTCCTTCTGAGGAGGTAGAAAGCACATACCCTATTCATACTTTACACCCACTTAATGTCCAGTCACAGGAAAGAAGAAAAATTTGGTCTTGTTTAGTAACAAAGAGATCTTTCCACGTCTCTGCAAGAAAACAAAACTTTTGGCAGATATGGACATACTCTCTTTCTTTTTAATCTCCATTTTGACATTTGTCCTCTATTTGAGGCAACTTGAAGATGAGTATGAGATCATTTTAATTAATTTTTTTTTTAAAAGCAAGTTTCTTGTCTGGGTCCGAGCTCTGAATTAATTTTTTCATTCTTGCTGAGACAACCGTCTGTTTTCACTGGCAGCCTGGTGAGACAGTGAAGCAATCTCCCAGGACTAGCCCCATCAGCCAGCACTGTTCTGACCTTGATAGTCTCGTGCATGGCAGGAATCTGCTTCTAAGCTGGGCAATGCTCTCAGCCTTGGGACCTGTCTGCTGACTTGCAGCAGTTGCCATAAGGGTTAAACAAGAAAAACCTGCTGGCCTGAAAATACCAGATAAAGAATCCATCTTTGATGTTATTCATGTTAACAAGGAGGAATGAGACTTCTCTTATTGTATCTTATAATGGACTTTCTGTTAGAGGAAGATTTTATTCTATAACAAGGACCTGCCTTTGACACTGTCAGCATGGAGTGTTGCTGGTAGAGCAGTAGAAGCTGGCTGTTGCTAGGGCTGTTGCTGTTGAGAGCACAGTGCTCAGAAAGGTGCAAAAAAATCAGTGTAATACTGAGCGTGCAAACCTTTGTTTTCCCCTTGCTCTGCTCTGCTCTGGCACATGTTTGCACTGTGCACACACTAAGCCTGGAGGCTGCAGGAGCAGTCTATGCAACTGCCTGCTGATGCAGAGCTGGGGACACCTTGGCTTCTCGGCTGGCTCCAGCTGCACGCGGATGCAAAGCAATTTCCTCATCCTCCATCTGCTCTTTAGCAAAGTTCACAAAAACCTGTGTGAGGAAAGCAGAAAATGTCACCATGTCTTCAACTGAGATGAGTTAGTGGAATGACTGCTCTGCAGGAAACAGACAGAAAGGGGAATCCACAGACATCAACTAAGTGAGACACTGTGTTATCAGCTGAGATCATGAGTTCCTCCTTTATTTGGATAAACTTCCTTGCAACTTCCTTCCTTGCAACTTCCTTCCTTTGGATGTACTTGCTTGCAAGTAAAATCCTACTTTTTCTTTAGGAGGAGATGGCTTCAGACAGGTTTGCATGGTTTGCACAGCATGAGTTTGGTTGTGACAGGAAAGAGGAGATGGAATATTTCAGTAGGAAGCTGAAAGGCAGCCAGGAATGCCTCTAGCAATCCCACTGAAAACAGCTTTGCATATGTGGACCCTTTGTTACTAAGGAAAGCAGACAGATGGGGCCAATACTCTCCAGCAAAACTCCCAGTGGACTTCCCAGGTTTTGTGTGTCTAATTGCTTCTCACGATATCTTTGATACAACATAGTCCAAACCTCTTATTTAAAATAAAATGCTATTCTCAGCTCAGTCTCATTCCAAATTGCTGACCTTGCCCAGACTGCTGCTCCTGAAGGAATGGTTTGTGTGAATTCTGTCATCTCAGAAACACTGTATTACCAGCTTTCACATGGCACCTATTTACACAGGGAGTAAGTTACTGATGATACACCCTCCTTGGTGAGGGGAATCTTGCCTGAGAAAGAGGTGTGAGATAATTCTCTAAACAATTTGCTCCTTCAGTTTGGATACATCCCCATTATGTTGCTTAATTCTCACCAGACACGCTTTCTCATGGGATGTTTTACCTTTTACTCACCTGATCTAATGTTGTTTGAGACACAGAATATTCTTCAATATGCAAATTTTCCTTATTGGAGATTATTAATCGAAAAATCTTAGCCAGAGAGGAAGAGCAAATCTGATACTGCAGCATGTTGTAGTGTTTCTCTCTCTGTAAACTCCCTGGGAAGTTGATGTGTATGAATTTCTCAGCAGGAGCAGGATCTGGAGGCAGCCCAGACTTTGGAGCTTTGATTTTCAGGGTGACAATGTAGCCATCTCCAAACCTGGGAAGGATATGTGGATTTAGGAATTGGGTGAAGAGTTTGTTCCATCATTCAGGAAAGAAATTACTTTTCTGTAGCTATGAAAACAATAACAGTATCTGAAAGATATTGCATAAGATCCAGCTTTTTAGGAAGCCCTGTATATGCCCTGCAGAAGTGGTATGTAACATAATAGAGTTGAAATGAGATCTGGTTAGATTGTCTAATATACAACACAGCTGCACCCAGAAATAGGTCTGGTTAAACACTGAATTGCTTGTATTAAGAATAGTACATGTCACATACACTAAATTTTCCCATTAAAGTCCACCATAAAATATTCTACTTACTTGTATTTTAGCTCCTGAATTGTGCCTAGGCATTTGAAGGTGCCTTGTACCATGATGGCTAAACGAGTACAGAGGGCTTCACATTCTTCCATACTTTCAAAACAGAGAACAAATATTTGAGATAAAAGCCAACATATGTATTTCAGCTGCTTTTGGATTCTGAATTCTGTTTTCACCTGTGTGAGGTTAGAACCACCGCTCGTCCCTCCCTGAGCACGCCAACAATGGAGTCCCACAGGAGGCGCCGGGACTGAGGGTCCATCCCAGTCGTCGGTTCATCCTGTAATGCAAATGTTACGGCAATCAGAGTCAGATAAAGCACAGAAAATGTTTGGACCACAGCATATAATTGTTTCTCTATAGTAACACGTGCCTTGACAAAGCACACAGACGTTGAGAAGCATAGGAGTGAGCAGGTACCAGTGGACTTCTTGGCACAAAGCAGTAAGGAAACAAGTACAGGGACTGCAGGTAAGAACACAGTGCTGCCTGTGTAGGGCATAGCTACAGGAAAGGGACTGCCTTTTCTGGGCAACAATGAGCTCTCACTCTAATTTACACCACCTAAGGATTTGATCCTACATAAATCAGCTAACCCAGTAAGTAACAGAAATGTAAACAAAATTAGGATAGAAAAATTTTCATTAAACATATTTTTCAAAGAAATCATGAGAAAACATTTTGACTGTTTACTACAGGCAGAATACATGTAAATGCATATTAAATGGTACAAGGAACCAGGCTATTAAAATGTATTAAAACACTTCTTCCTAGATTTTACAAAGTAAAAGTGCCTGTGTCAAAGTCATAGACATAAAAATTAAGTTGGTAGAATATAGTCTAAAAAAATAATTTCTGTAGTAATTTCATATAAAATTTCCCTTTAAATGTGCAATTATCTGATCACTTATTTTATTTGACAAGAACTGCCTTTCAGCATCTGTATAGTTTAGTAAAAATTTGTACAATTTATTCCAAAAATATTGAAGGCTGGAAAAGGGTAGGTATCTTCCTCTGTCCTGCTGGATAAAGCAGTCAGGTGTATATGTTGGAAGATCATCTTTTACATCAGTGGCTGCACTCTGATAAGAAAAGACAGACTGAAACTAAACAACAGTTTAAATTCAGATTTTTCTGGATTATAGACTTTATCTCAACACCTCCTTTTTTGAAGATCTTTCTTTTGTAATCCCTTGGGGTCAATTGGAAGCATGGTTACACATCCCAGACGATGCCTGAAATTAACTCAAAACGACACTGAAATAACTGTAAGTTGAGGGCAGAAAGGAGCTTGCAAGGTCTTTGTAGCTCTTTAGCATGTAGTGTTATGAGATGTTATATTGAACTACCCATGACACTTTCTATGACACTTACTAGCAAGACAAGTGGTGGGCAGCCTATCAGGGCAATGGCAGTGGAGAGCTTGCGCTTGTTGCCACCACTGTAGGTCCCTGCCAGGTGGTCTGCGTACATAGGAAGTCCCAGCTTCTGGATGCCCCATTCAGCAACCTGTGAGAAAAACCATCTGTTTCACACAGCAGCTAATGCAGGACAGACAGGATTGCTGATACATCCCTCTTCTGGTAGAAACATGGCAGTCCCCTGGGTTTTAGCACATTCATTTAAGAACTGGGCCAGGGAAGTACAAAATGTTTTTTGATGATGATGAGGGGCATTCTAACTATATGATGGAAAGCCATAAAGCAGCCCCAGCTGTAGACTTCTATCTGTTCAAGAATTTAAATTATTTTGTTCTGGAATCTTCTTCATGTTTTCTTCCCTATACATACACAAGTTTAAAGGCAAGAGCAGAACAGCAACCAATGCCATTCTGAGCCACAGGAATTGCATCTTTAGCCTTCCACCATTGGTGCCACAGATTTGCAAGGACTATTAATGCCTGAGAACCTGCATTTGATAGTGTGGTCTTGTTACTTAACTGTCCAGATGACAGGAACCACTCCCAGGACTTCAATACACAGAATAACAAGTCCACTTTGGAAAATCTGATGCTTGGCATGCTAAGAGCATCATTAATCATCACAAATATGCCTGTAACTACCAAAAGCAAGACTACTTTACCCTCTTGATTTCTTCTGCTGGAACCCCCCGCAAGCGTGCATATAAATAGAGGTGTTCTCGTCCTGTGAGCAGATCATCAATGGCATCAAACTGAGGGCAGTATCCCATGTTTTGATGCACATTAGAAATGTGGGTCAATATACTGGAGAAACAAAGAAAAGAGTTGTAGTTCTGTAATACTAGGTCTTAGACAGAGAAGAACAGTTTGAATAAAACGCTTTTTTTCTGGAGCAACAACGCTTGTAAGAGGAGAATTAACTCTTCCTGATAAAACATCCAATGAAAATATTTGTCTGTACATAAGAGCAAGGAGTATATTGTTGTTTTAAGTAAGCTCAGTCCTGGTTAAGAGTGTAAGCCCATTTCCCCTCATCCATTTTCTTGTTAAAGTATAGACTAACTTAAGTTCTTTAAACAGCTACTCAGGCTTATTATTTTTTTAAAACAGTGTTTATATCTAGAAAAAAAGAAGCAGTTATTTCAGCTCAGAATATGGTCACTAGCAACAGACAGGCAGGACACAAGGCTAACACTTCAGTGGTAGTAGGAAAAATACAAAATCACAGAATGGGTGTGTTTGGAAGGTGGCTCTGGAGGTTATCTTGTCCACTGACCCTGCTTGGGCAGAGTCACCTAGAACAGGGTGCCCAGGACCATGCCTGGCAACAAAAGAGTTATTGTTCAGATCACATTAATGGACAAAGAATCAAATCCCAACTACACCTAACAAGCCAAGGCACACAACCTGGAAGTAAACCAACATAAGTGTATACCAGATCACACTGTAATAACTTAAGACATTATGCCAGCACTGTGCAAACAAAGATGCTAGAAACAGCCAAAGAAAAGTCACAAAGCTCAGATCAAAGTACCCTGATGGATGGGTTATCTTATGTTTGGGAACTCTTGCTGCTAGGTATGATTGCCTTGTTCCACTGTTAGCATTACTACAACTTAGCCACAGATTCTGCAAGTGTTAAAGGTATCAATTGCAATTGTGTGTTAGCTGTGATCTCGGTGCTGTAGAGCTGCTGGATCACTGAAAGTGTGATCTGGACAGTTCTATGTGGTAAATGGACTGTCACAGGGGTCTTTTTAAGATACTTACCTATTGCCAGCCACTACAGCATCTCCAGATGTCACATCAGTATCTCCAGTCAGCATTTTGAATGTTGTTGTTTTGCCAGCACCATTCACTCCCAAAAGGCCAAAGCACTAAATTGCAAAATTTATCATATTCTTTAATATTTCCAACTTGCAAATCAGCAGGGGCATAAAAAATCTGAACGGATCCATGGAATGGAATCCAGTGTTATTGAACAACCTACCTCTCCGGGACGGATGCCAACACAGAGTCTGTCCACTGCGGGCTTGTGTCGACCTGCATAAATCTATATTGATGGGGGGAGGGAAAAAAAGGAAAGTTTCTATTTCAAGGTAGCTACAGAAATGAAAATCATCTGAAATTTTAGTTTAGTTTAATGCTATTGGGATGAGGCAACTTTAGAACTGAGACAGGAGTAAATATTTTTTCATTCTTCTCAAAATATTACCTTGGTCAGTTCTTGTAATTGTAAGATATCTGTTTTGTTTCCTCCATTCATAATTCTTTTTCTTTCTTCTGCAACATCCTCATCTTCATTAATAATAGGTGACATGGCAGTATCGGCAAACCTGGAAAAACCCAAGATACTGAGCTGCCCTGGGTTCAGTTAGAATAACAGTGTGAGACAACGGCTAATCTGCTGCCAAAAATGTGACTGGTGGAAGCAGTGGGATTGAAACGTCACAATGTGACATTGGCTGGAGAATTCCTGCTGTTGGGAGAAGCCCTACCTTTAAAGTTAATCTCTAGATACTAAAAAGGGAGGAAATGGTTTGCTCAAAAGAACTTGCCTTGTCAGTCACTGATAGGACAATAACCTGCCCCCTAGCCACAGCTTTCACTATTTGGCTACTCTTAGTACCTAGTGATGGTCCTTAAAAGTTTTGAGTAGATCTCTCTGCAAGACAGTATTTCTATAATTGCACCCATTAGTACTCCTGTTGGCAATCTTGAACAGGAGTGAATGACTCCCTCACAGCTGGTAGGTAGCTGTTTTCAGCAAGGGAGAGGCACATTTGTAAAGCAGAGAGGGGAAGTTCACACAGAGTCCAGGATACAGCTGTCCTGTGCCACAGACTAAAACTGTCTTGGGATGTCAGGCTAGTACCTCATAGCTAGCTAGCACCTGCCTGACTGAAGACACTACAGACTTTCCAGGTAACTTTATAATCTCACCATTACAGCGTCTTAAACTAAAAAAAATTACATCAAAATTTTAATTCAAGAAAACTAATTTCTTTAATAAAATATTCTTAAATCCTTTCAAGATAATGCAGATTTGTAAATGCTTTCTTGAATCAGGATATCAATAAATTAAGATAAGATCAGGTAAGTAATAGAAAACAAAAAAGCTACAAATTTAGAGAAAAGTTAAGAACAAAAAGAAGAGGGACATAGAGAATAACAAAGATAGTAATTATTTTAATAAAGGATCATTAATAGAACTTTTAGACATACCATCTTGTGGAGAAAAAACGGTGCTGCATAAAGAGATTCAGAAAGAAGAACACAACTCCTTGCAGAGCCATGGCAGCCAGGTTCTTTCCAACAAAGTCCCACTGAAAGGGATTAGAAACATGCTCCTCACCTTTGGAGAAAGAGCACCAGAAAGGTGAAATACTGCTGAAAAACCCCTCTACTCCTCAGAACAAAAAGCATAACCACGATGAATTACTGTACTTTATTTGCTCATGATCAGGCAATGGTTTTAATTTTACAGTCTCATAAAAATTCTTAACAAAATGCCTGCCAAGTTCAGCTGCTGCATGGAAGTAAAATAATCTATCTGAATACACACTAATTTGGATATCATTATACAAAACTCGCATGGATTATATGAAAATACACACATTTTCTGAATAAAAGCAGATGAGTTCTGCTGTATGACTATTCTTTTAATAAGTTGTCTGATATCAAAGACAACCATATCCCAAGAGAATGCATTTGAAGAACAACAGTCACTTTAAACATTAACTGAGGTATTCAAATGAAATGAAAAAATAAATCCTCCTGTAATGATTTAAAGTCTTCAAAACAAAGGATAAAAAGATACCAGAGTCTGACAGTGAACAAACGGGTTAATTTCCAGTGCAGATTACTGATTGGTCCACTGAGTTCTGGCAGCACAATCAGAAGCTGTGATTCCTTCAGAGAGGGTGAACTTTCATACTCCTCATCCATCTGATGATGGAAGAGGTGAGAATTTCAGAAACATTTACTACTTTTCTGAGTTAATCCTTCCAAACATTTCATCCAAGGTCAGGACATGTGACACTGCCATAACTTGTTTCTTATTGGCTTTACTTACCAAACCTTGCATATACTTCAGTCACAGCTTGGTTCATGGCCAAGTCGATGAGTCCACGGCCCAAACAAAAATGTGGGAGGACAAGCAGTACATTTTTCAATGTTTTATTAAATTTCAGCAAAGACTGTAAGAAACAGAAGCAACATAAGCTGTTTAAACCAGACCTGTTTAAGAAAACATAGCAACATAAGTGAAAAGTTCTTTGTCACATCAGAGAAACTGGATATTCTGTTTTCTTAAAACAGAGAAAACAGAGTATTTATCAAGTTACACTCAAAGCAACATAAAACACAAACAGCAGAATCCTGGCATAAACTGCATCAGATAAGGTGTTTGTGATAAACTGGCAATGGGGAAAATTTCTGTTTTTATAATGAAGTATTTCCCTATGTAGCAGAGGTAATGTAATTCTGGTGGTAATATTTAAAGCTGCTATGGGGCTGTTTTGGATTTGCACTGAAAACAGGGTTGATAACACAAAAGGGATGTTTTAGCTATTTCTGAGCACTACTTTCAGAGACAAGGCCTTTTCTGTGCCTTTCCTTACCCCCTAGCAAGGAGCTGGGGGTGCACAAGGAGTTGGGAGGGGATGCAGCTGGGACAGCTGGCCCCAGCTGACCCAAGAGATATCCCAGACCATATGCAGTCATGCTCAGCACATAAAGTTGGGAGAAGACGAAGCAAGAATGTTCAGAGTTACAGCATTTGTCTTCCCAAGTCACCATTATGTGTGATGGAGCCCTGCTTCCCTGGAGGTGGCTGAGCACCCATGGGAAGTGGTGAATGAATTCCTTGTATTGCTTTGCTTGTGCCCACAGCTTTTGCCTTATCTATTAAACTGTCTTTATCTCAACCTAAGAGTTTTCTCACTTTTAGTCTTTGGATTCTCTATCCCATTCCATGAGCTGGGAGAGTGAGGTGCAGAGTGCAGTGGCTGTGTCGTGCTTGGTTGACATGGGATTAAGTCATGACAATAGTCAGGGCTGCCACAATACTGAAAAGTGCTGGTGTCTGGGCATAATTACACTGTGGATGTTGGTGCAATGTAGAGATGCCTGAAACAGTGTAAGTGCAGCAGCAGTTGAGCTGCACCAGCACTGAATCCAGAGAAGAGCCATCTCCCCTCTGGAGATAGTGTCTGCAACAGAGACATGTTTTCAAAGGTAACCATGCTGCCCTGATGTCCCTGAGACTTAATGGCACTAGAATGAACTCTGTGCTATCAAGAATCATAGCTGTAAATGCAAGAACAGCAGTGACAAAAACTATTGTCAAGTAGGCCCCTGAAAACATTAATTTAACCAAGATCTCTTTCTCCTTTGCAGCAAATAACAGTGCTTGATCAACAGAGAGTGCTTGAAAATGCATCACCAGTAATAATAGCTAATTGGACTGCTGTGAGATGAGGTGTCAAACGTAGTGGCCAGAGCTTCAACAACCACGGAGATGATAGCTGTAGTGCATACAAGCCAACAGCACTTCATAAACTGATCTTTGAGCCTTCCTAAGAACTAATTTTGGCACTTGCTGTATTCTGCCACCTTTCTGATGGTGTTAAATCATTGTCAGGCAATTCTCAAAATGCTACTATGAGCAGAACATCTCCTCTAATACAATGACCACCAGGAGTAAGTGCCTCCCATCTACATCTTCCCATATAACACAAGCTGCAGAAGCAAGTACAAAGTGCCATGTCTAGACCTCCTCAACTGTGAAAGCATGTAAAATTTTGCTCATAAGTCAGTAGACAAGAGGAGACGGGAGCTGGAGATTCCTCTGCAGGCCCTGGTGAGGCAGCTGTGCCCCTGCAGCCCTTGAAGGTCCTGGGAGAGATCCTATCCTGAGATCCTGAGTCCTATCTCAGCTCATGAAGATTTCATTTTATTTCTCTCCCTTGTCCAGCTGTGGAGAGGAATGACAGAGAGGCTTTGGTGGGTGCCTGGCATCCAGGCAGCATCAACCCACTACAAAACATTACTTACTGGGTTATTCTCAAATAATTCCAGGATGAATGTAATGGCACTGCTGTTGATTCCCACAAAGAGATTAATACAAGACAATGCAACATAAGCAGTGCTGGGGATACTGAAGAAAGAAGAAGCAGGGTACATCATGGGAATTACTGCCCACCTGCATGCAAAAAAAATAGAAAAAAACCTGTAACTTCTCAGTAGTCTCATGTCAGTTGGCCTAAAGAACGCTGAGCTTTCTTCCCACTCCAAGTATAACAATATGGTGCAATCAATCAGTAACTCACCACACTATTTTCTCCCTGGTTACTACATAATATTTTTTTCTGCTTAGTCTTTTTTTTTTTTGCTATTAAAATGCAAGGCAATAGACACTGCTAAAATTGAAGAAACGTTATGCTAGCAAGGTTGCTATCACCCAGGTATCTTTGCACATTTCAGTGAATTGTACACCAAGAAGGAGAAACAAAGAAATGTTGAATGCTGAAAAATACTTCAGTATTGACTGTGAATGTGACAAATGAACAACCACTAAATTCCTGCACAACGTACAAGGAAGAAAGCAGCAAACTGAGCAAATATATTTTCCTGTACAGGTCACATTTAATGCTTGAAAATGCAAAGCAGGAGGTGACAAAAGAATCTCTTTTGCAGCACATAGCCAGAAAGAGTATGTACATATCCCATAGAAGAATCTACTTTTAAACTGGTTTGGATCCACTCAATTCTATTCTTCAAAGCTGGGTTCCACTAAGTACTGAGCTCAGAAACATTAAATCATTTCCATGTGAAATATAGGGCCCATCTGCAGCAATAACCTTGAACACTCACCCATACAGGAGCAGCAAGGACACGAGCACAGGGAGGTTGGTTGGAGAGGCGTATGCTTTCTTGTTGAATCCAGCGAATATAGCCACAACCATCCCAGCACTCAGTGCATAATTCACCTGCCACAGCACAGGGGGAAGATCAATGTGTAACACCTGAGAAGGGCTGCAAACATATCCAGATCCTACTCATCATTCCAAAAGGATTTTATACCGAGGAACATCAGAATTCGAGTTAGACTAGCCACACTGAATCTTTTGGATCAACAGGTCCCTGGCAATGCTCAGCGTTTTTCTAAGGCATCTTTTATCAGACTGTTCATCAAAAATACGACATATGTTGTTGTTTCTTAGATGATGGTTTGTGAATCCATTATGTCATAGTCCTGTTTCCAGGTTTCCCACAAAAAGCAGCCATGGGTATGCAATGGAAGTGCAATTTCTGGTGATGCAAACAATGTCTATGTAGGATGGAAGAGCTACTCACTCGAGCCACATTCCTGGGAAGAGGCTGAAGTGAGTATGCTTGGCTACTGCTTGGTTTCTCTGTTCAGTATTAGTAGCACTACTCTACTGCAATGCACAGAAATCCCAATGCAGAATGGAAGGCAGCATTTCATGGAATTGCTACCACCACTTAATGCCTTTGCATCATGCTGTCAAGGGCAACGGCCAAGCAGAATTTCTGTCAAGGAAGCTGCTGTGAACAGCAGGGAACAAGACCTCTGGGACCTGTTTCTTTTCTCTCATTTACTAAAATAATGCTTTGCTTTATCTTCTTCTGAGAGAACACCTTCCAAATTCTGAAGAGTTTTGGGCTTTTCAAACATAGATTTTCTTTTCTTTTTAATTTTTTCAATTCTATGTTCATGCTTTTCTTATTGCATAATTCCTTGGCTGCTTTCTTGGTTGCAAAGGCATGGACAGCCCTTGTGCCTCAGCCAGCAAAGAATTTTCTCTTTTATGACAAAGTGGCTGGAGGGGATCTGAGCCTTGTCTAAGCAAATCTGCACCTGTGGTATAAATTTTTTGGAATTTGACCATGATACAGTGACCTAAACGACTATGTCATTTCAGACACTCTAGAGTATTTTGTCAGGTCTATAGGTACTGTTCCAGCAGGCTGTGAATCTTCCCCACTTAGGTTTCTTGAATATCTTGAAATATATTTTGGGTCTTCCAGAGGACAGGAGTGACTAACACCTGGCAATGAGGCTTTTCTCTGCTGTAATAAGTAATTGTATTCATCATATATTCAGTTGTAAGGACTAGAAATCCTAAGACTATAAAAAATATAGCTTCATTAGCTGACTGAGTTGTGCTCCAGAATTAATTTCTACATCTGTAATTAGTTCAGAGGCCAGATCCTTAGCATGGTCTCTGAGAAACACTTAGGAGAAGTGAATGATTTGCAATGCTTAGAATCACCTTCACTTGATTCACTGATTCATGCACATCCAGGATAATCAGAGGCTGTCAATCAGACCAGCAGTTACTTACTATGTCCCACATGAAGTTAGTTAGCCAATAGGTAACAGGGCTCACACCACTGACAAACTGGAGATGTTTGGCTTTTGTTACACGTTCTTGGATCAGGTATAAAACAAAACTGGCTGGTATAAAGGACATGGCAAAAATCACACAGATGGCAACAACAGCATCCACTGAAGTGGTCAGTCTACAACAGAGCACAAGAAGGGACTGTGAGCAAGGGAATGGATGCAATGCAGCATTATATTAGCATCTGGGGACTTGGGACTGTGCTTTAGGATATAGAAGTAGCAAGGCTGTTTTTAAGTAGAAGACTTCTCCAGTTTCAAAATGTGCTAGTGTATTTTTCCAAGTTGTTTTGAGAACTGTAGCTAACAAATATGGCACCATTCCTTGATCTTTTACTTGCTTTATATATCTGTTTTACAGCCTTTCCTGTGTGGGACACATCAAACTAGACATTTAGGCAAAATAGTCAAAATGCTCTGGAAGCAGGGAAAAGAGAAACTTAAAAAGGTGAGTTGGAGACAGTGAGACGAAGCACAGATTTTGCCTCTGTGCTGTAATGCAAAGTTTTCAGTTTCATTGAATTATGAACTTAATAGGAGAGTGGAAAATGTTGTCTTTTTAGGGATGTCTTTTCCAAGAAATTATGACTTTCAGGAATACACCAATCCACTCCATGCCATTGAAAAATCTATCTGCATTCTGTCCTTGGCACCAAGAGAGCAGGTGGTCAACTACTTGACCTGTAGTCAATCAAGGACAAGTTCTCATTCGATTTTTTATTAGGTGTTTTATTTCAGAAGTAAATGTATAGGATTTGGAGCATGAATGAAAATTTCAGAATCTTTATGCTTGGGAATGAACAGAAACATGCAATAGTGTAAATCCAACAGCCATAGTTCCTATGTGGGATGGGCATGAACTCTCACAGGAATGTAACAAGATATTAATAGATTCTTGATTAGAATAAAGCTTCAGAGAAGGGCCTCTACATTCTGTCAATTGAACTCTTTCTCCTCAGACTGAGCATGCTGGAAGTTGCAAATTGCCAGGAGAGGGAAGGGTAAAAGCCAGAAGCAGAGCACAAGCAGACTTACACAGTGACTTCAGAGAGTTGCTCCTTGGTGAGGTTCAGAGGATGGTTTATAGCAGTGATCCCATGTTCCTCAGGGTCTTGGCCAGTCCTCAGATTAGCTCTGAGGATTGCATTATTGGCTACATTGAGGAAACTAACCATAGCATGCCAGCCTTTATTGTTAAACCACACCTACAGGAGTCAGAAATCACAGATTAATTTATCAGTTACTGTCTTCACTGAGCTACAGGAGAAAATCTGGTTGCCTTTTATCTGCTTTGGTGGGCACTGTCCTCAGGGGTGAATCCAGCTCCAGGAATTCATAGTTCCTAGGCACAGTCCTGGAGGAGGAGCTCACAAACTATGCTTTTAAAAGCACTGGACAACTGGACAACTACTATAAAATTCAAGGAATTTTATAGAAGCCCATTTTAATATTTAGTGTACTACTCAAAGTATTTAGGACAGCAAGTAGTGCTAAGAACTAATGATTTTTAAAAAATCTCACATTTGAAATACTATGAGTAAGGATTAGCTATGGTATGGGATACAGTGTTAATAGCAAGTTATTTCTAAAGTACAGCATTTCAGCTCTTCTTGCATTTGGGAATACCATCAGCAATATTCTCATAATTTGAAGTCTATGTCAAGAAAGACCGTGAGTTAGAAGACTAATTCCAGTAAATACCTTAATATTATCTTCAGTTTCCATGTATTTAAGGAAATTAGAGATTTCTTTAGCAGCAGCCCATGAAGTTTGTCCCTAAAACAAAAAAGAAAAAGTTAAAGATCAGTGCTCTAGTGAAATCTAATGCTGCAGTAACCATGCTTTAATAAGGGGTCAAAAACCAAACAAACAAAATTAAAAATCTTGCTTACTCCTGTCACATTCATCATTCGGCCAAGATCACTTAAAAAATTGACAATTTGATCTCCAGAAACATGAAGGACTGGAAGCCTTCCTCCTATAGAAATTCCTCCATACCTAGTATAAAGAAAAATATAATCAATAACTCATCCAACACACCCGTAACTGCACCCTAATGGAAATACTAAAAACCCACTTAATGCAAGTTTAATTTCTATACATCAAATATTTCATGTATAACAATTTCTACTCTTTTCCTAACAAGT